TGCCTGTCTCAAGCTTTGTAGCTCAAGCCATTGCCTGGGGTTAAACACGAACAGCTTATAATTTCACTGAGGGTTACCCTACCACTACACCTATAAATCATTTTGTATAAAGCAGACTCAAAACCAGTTGTCTTGTAATCATTAATTAGCTCAGAACAATGTGCTCTATTCTGAATTTCCTACAAAAACTGTTCTGTATTCCTGCTCTTTGATAAGCCTCAGATTTTTCCACATTAAAAAAAACTCCACCTCTTAGTATTTTCACTGTTTTCCCTAAACAATCCTTTCTTACAAAAGCACAAGCTACATATATATTTTTCCAAGTGTCCTGTTTACTCAGCCTACCATTGGTTCTGTGTGTAGTCCAGCTGTGGCATTACATCTTGAACAGCATTAGCACTAATACAGAACCTCTACATGTCCACAGATTACTTATAATCCAAACTGATTTTACCTGTATTAAACGGTTTACTCATCATTCTGGATTAACATCATCAGTGTCCGGGGGAGGATGCAAAAGAATTGAAAAATCATTTCAACTTCTACCCCCAAAAATAACAAATTCTAGATTTTTGAAGAGAAAGCATTTAATAATTCTTAGCTAGAGTTTTAAAATCAAATGCTGAAATCTTCACTGTCTCTTAAATCAAAATTCTCAACGATTCTTACTGATGGTCAAACTTCTAGCCCCCAAATTATGCATAGAATGAACTAAACTAACTAATTCTTAAGGCATAGTAAGAAGAATACATGGAAGGGGGCATGCTTCTGTATGCTGACAGCAAATCTTAAAGATTTATAAAAAATTTATATTTTTAGATTTATTCCATTCAGTACTTTCTCACTGATGTGATTTTTTGACAAAGTACCCCAGTTCCAGCACAGATACATCACTCCGTGCAGTATTGCTTCTTTATTAGGAAGTGGAATTTAAATTATCATGGGAAAACAACAGATAAAATGTAATGTAATTACAGTAAAATGTAACTTCTTTGCACAAAACTGCAAGTCATACCAGGGGAACTTGTTTCATCGGTAATATTACATGTATCAAAGTAGCAATTCAGACTTAACTGTATGGCCTTTAATCTTACTATGTTTGTCCAAGTTCTCTGTACGTTTTATGAAACAAATCCATTAAAAATTGTGTAGCAGATTTCAGAGGTGAGGAACCCCTAACACGTTAGAAAACAAGACATTGTGTGCTAGAAGTGAGAAACACACATAATTTACACATCACATGTGCAGTAAACACACATTTAAACAATGGACAGTACATTACTCACCAACCTGTTTATTTAAAAAGTGACCTGAGCTTCTTGAGTTTCACTTGAATTGGCACTAGAAATACCTTATTCTAATTCAGTACATGCATTACTAGAGTCACAAACTAAATCTGCTGTTATTATGTATATGTTACAATTGGGGCTCGTGATACTGAAGTCAACATAAAATGAACTCCAGTTGAGAGAGTGAAAATATTTTAGTATCAACTCTCTGTGAAGACCAAAGTCGAGACTGGCAGATGCTAAACCCAATGATTTCACAATGTTCCTTGACACAGACTAAGCAGAGATGAAAGAAATTCTACAGCTGTTCCCTGAAGTTTTTGAAGTCAAATAGCATCGTGCAGTCAAAAGACTTGCCCCTTTGATAACGCAGTTCCAAATTATCAAGAAGTCAATCAAATAAGTGCTAAAAAAGATAGTTTCTGCATATTCACAATGGCCTTATTAAAAGATGACGCGTACACAGAATGAAAAGGACTGCAAAGGTCCTCCCAACCCTGCTGTCACAAGCAGCTGCATTATATAATTTGTTCATAAAAGAACCAGAACCTTAAACAACCTTTAAGTAGTTGGTTCTGTCCCAGACCTCGCTCTGCTGGCACTTACCAACCTTGCTCTATGTTCCAGGCTGGATTTACTGTTTACAGCTGGGTCATTATTGTCTCAACGTTAGAAAGTGTTACCTTGCTCAGAAGATACACTCCCTGGTACATGCCCAATAAAACTTTTTGACTTAAAAGAAACAAGGGAGTTTCACTCCATCTTCCTCCTATTAGCCTGCAAGAATCATACTAGTTTATAGAGAACAAGTTAGATCTGATATAGCAAAATTTTTCGTTTAAATATCCATCTTGTATCGGTTCATAAAACTGCCTCATCATATGGTTGCTCATTATTCGTAATGATGTATAAGATGCAAGGTATAACACCATTAGGAAACAGTAGAAAAGAATAGATGATGAAAAGATAGACACATGGAAAAAAGCACAAATAGTAAAGCCTAAGAAGGGAAAAATGTAAAGTACTAAACACAGATCCTACATGAAATTAAGAGCTCTCAGTTGTTTTGTGGACACTAGAACTCTCACGGTACTGGTGCAATAGCTGCGCATCCTCATTTTCAGCAGTAAAAAAGTTAACACTGCATAATTTCAAACAATAAAGTCAAGTTCATCCCTTCATTTTTATTTTTAAATTGCACAAACCACAAAGATTTGTGGTGCATAAATCCATTTTATATAGGCTGCTTAATTGGAACCGTAAATCTGATCTATCAGCTGCCTGGGGATGTAGAGAGCAGCCAAACTCCCCAAGTTCACCACATCCAGGAGCTCTGTCTCTTCTTTCTCCCAACACAGAGGGACTCCAGCTACCGTAACTACAAGTTACCACTAAGGCATCTTTCAGAAAGTTTGCTTTAAAAAAACCTCTCCCCAAACTATTAACACTATTAAAAAAGTAGATCAAAACTTCAAGGTATTCTGAACTGAAAAATACGCAGTCAGATTTTTTTGTTGTTTTGTTTTTAAACGCACCTCAATTCAATAGGCCGATGTGAAAAGTTGAGGATAGCAGGTCACTTTTTTGGGATTTCTGTTCATAAATACAGCAAGTTGTTACTTTCCTTCTCCTCAACTAGAAAGGAGAGATGCCACAGGAGATCAGTAATCACATCATACACGTACTAGCGCTGCCTGCATAGCACTTTTTTCTATCAATGTCTTTATGAGGGAAGCTGTGTTTAAAACTTCTATTTTACAAAAGCTTAAATTTAAACATGCCTGTCTTGAGATTTCTTTCTGTTCACTTTCTCAAAAGAAGAAGTGGTATAAATATTCCTGAAAGGTGAATTTGGGACTGCAGTACCTTAAATATTAATCAAAAGTAAACTTCTAATTACGTTATGGATTTAGAAAAATCCTTTTATTGCACAGAAGATGACAAAGAATTTCTATAATTAATCATTATAGCCTAAATACTGCTGTCAAAATATTAAATATTTAAAAGAACTTGCCATTGGCTTTTCATATATAAGAACAAACGCGCAAACAGCTGTAATGAAGAAAAGAATTACATAGTATTTCATCAAACAGTAACGTCCACCACGTCTGACCACATATTCTTTCTACCTGACCTGCCCACCATGACTTGATGGAGATCTATTGGTCCCACATATTTAAAGAAGAACAGGTTTTTCAGACATGAGCATCACATGCATCACTGATTTAAAACCCCAAAGCTGTATGCCTCACTAGAAATTTACATTAACGTGCTCTCACAGTAGCTTAATTAAATACTCACTGAGTGCCACATGTAAATAGTGTGACTTGTACAGAATTTAATTTGGAACTATTCAGAAACATCAGCTGCAAAAAAATAGAGTATTTTCTTATAAAGTCCTGCCAAATCAGCGCATTCCTTTGAAAACGTCTATTACTGTCCATTATCTGATCCCAAGGGATAAACCTAGAGAAACCGTTATTAAATTTTGAACCAATTCTATTATAAATATTTAGCATCATGGGAATATTCGGAGCTCTCCTCTTTATTTTGCTCTTGAGATCACCTAAAGGAACTGTCCAGTTTTAAACATATCAAATAACAAAATACTGGCATCTTTCTTACTTTTTCTTGAGCAGTATGTTCTATGACAGCAATAAGATTTTCCTTCATCAATTAGTGTTTATCTTGATTTGTACAAAGGTTGTCGTGCTCTGCATCACAATAGTTTCCCTCTATATATTGCAGACAAACAGGGAACGAGGAAATTCACTTACTAAATTATTAAAGTGTTGTTTACGTGAGAAAAATAACTTACCTTGCAAATCTGTGCTATCATCAAACTGCTCATTTTAAAGACCTTGCAAGTGTAAAATTAGCTGTTACAGAATTACAGGGTTTGAGCACTAAGGTACTGTAAGAGATAAATACATACAGCAAGCCAAAACACTAAAAAAAAAAACCACTTAACATTGAAGGAGGCCAAGTAAATAGTAACTTTTTTTTTTTAAAGAACAATCCCTCAATATTTATTGTAATAAATGTGCTAGAGATTATAATTTCAGCTGCAGTTCACAACAGTAACAAGGTTGTCCTAATCACAAACAAGCTTTTTTTACTTCTCTCCAATTCTCTGCCTAATCACTTCATAGGCAAGGAATGAGTACATTAGTATTCACAATAGCAAATAGAGACCAAAATTTTCAAGCTTCCACACCTTACGTTGGCCAAAGTCCATTTTTAGTCACCAGCATAAAAAAAAAAATCAATGGATTTTCCAATTAATTGATCACCTGTGTATCACTCCACCAACGTCTCAGAATTTAGCCTACTTCACTGCAGTGTCTCTCTCTCTCTGGTATCCAGGAATTTGCATATTAACTTTGAGTTTCAGAATAATGTTTTTCATACCAGTAGCCAGAACTAAATCTACCTGATTTACATGTAAGTCTTTTAGGAAAGCTAAAAGAAAGCCCTAATAGAAAAAAAAAGTCATATCAAACCAGTTGCTTTGACTAGCAGATATACAAAGTCTGCTCATAAAAGGTAGCAGAGAGATATTAATCAGGTTATTATTCGACATTGTACTGTAGCCACTTTAAACTGCTGAGAGAGATGATCTATGGTACCAACCACTCCCAGGGGTTTGCAGAGTGATGTTTATGAAAGCTTAAAAGCAGGCACTAATACGAGTATCATGACTCTTTTCAGGCAGTAGGTGAAACCTTGAAGAAAAAGTGGCTCTGTCTTCAAAAAAGTGACCTGACCTTTGCTTTGGTGGGTTTTTACTCTGCAAGAAATAAAAAGCACTGCATGCTTTCCAATGCATCCCTTCTAGCTGATAAACTATTTTGTTCTATCACTCAGCACAAAAGGACTACCTTTTATAAAGATCAAATAGCATGTTGTTAGAGCTAGCTAATGAGAGCTCCACACCTCATGCTAGAAACAAGCTCCATAGACCTGGAACATCTCATACGAATCATGAACAAAGTCAATATGCAATTGGCCAAGAACCTTTGATATGCTTACTAATTAGAAGTAATTCTCATTGAACTAAATATATTTCATTTTTACAATGACTTTGCAGTTCTTGGGATATCAAAGGCATCACAAATCCAGCATGCTTATCATTTATGACACTTCTGCTCTGAGATTCTCTTGCAGCATGCAAAGAACTCTGTAGGGTAACTGTAATGTGTTGCACAAGCAAACTAACCTAACGGTGACCTGCTGATTAATCAAATCTGTTCAAAACCCACAACAGAATATAATGGTTTTACCTGCAATTGATGAAATGTTTCTGAAACAAGTTGTAGTTCAGTGTAAGCAGTAGTGTTGGGTGGGTTTTTTTTTATTGGACACAGAATACAGTGCTAGTGAAAGTAATTCTAGTATATGATGTAGTAGTGAAGAACCCCTTCTAGCAGTAGACTTTGAAGTATTTAAATATATTTAATTTTAGCGTAAAATGCTGCTTTTATGGAGCCAGATCCTGCAGTCTTTGCACAGCTAAAACTTCCACAGAAATCAATGGGAGCTTTTTAAGTATAAAAATAAGGACATACCCAGGGCCAGGAGTGTAATACAGTTCTGCTGTTATGCTTTATCCATAACGCTCAGACTTTCTGTCACTTGCAAGAGTATAAGAAATCAAAATACAGAAATCCATGTGAAGTCAACAAGATAAATACCCTTTTTAAATAAAAAGTATGGCTTCAGAAAGAGTATGGCACAAAGTGTTTTCGTTTGGCTACAATCTTAAAATTAAATATCGTTAAAACATTTTAACTTCGTCTTGAATATTTACAATATATTAAGTGAATTTTACGAACAGTTAAGTTTAAAAATTCTTAAAGTTCAACAGTAATGACCTTTTTTTTGGAGAACTGTAGCAATGCCTATGATGGCAGAATTTGGCTCCATATAATCTGTTAGCAAAAACCAGACTGTTTATCTTACGTAAAGTGTTTATTTTAAAATGTTATCAGAGCTATAAACACTGTGGGCCAGCCCTACAACAGGTTATACTTACAAATTTCAGGGAGCGTTTGCCTTAGTGAACTATAAGGTTCTGTGCTTTTTTTGCAAAATCAGCTTGATGCTATTTTTAAGCACAAGAAAGGTGCTTTGGATATAAATTTTTGGGTTACAAATTAAATCAAGGGGCTGACCCTGCAAGACCTTACTCTTATGGAGGTCCTATCCTGCAGGAGGTCCAAATCCTTCTGTTGGCACTGGAGTGTTTCCAGCCAGCCTTGCCCCAGCGAGGAAGGGCCGTATTCCCGTTGACTTCAATGGGGCAACCCTACCGAGTCACGAGACTACGGCCAAACCCCAACCACAATGACAACGAATGGGTTCACAGATAAATCATTATTATTATTATTAAACAGTGTTTGTGTATTCTGCTTTCAACTAGGCTTTGCTTCCAGCCATGAACGCCAAGGACTGGCTGGTTGCGGGGTGTGATGTTGGGACGCGGTTGCTGACTGGCGCCATTGTTGATTTCGCTGTTGTAGGGGAAAGGCTCTAGGGCGGCAGATAAGGCTGTTGCCATGGTGATGAAGGAGATTCCGAGGGAGGAGTCTGCAGAAGAAAAGCCCCTCCTTACTATGACATCACAGGTGGGCAGAGCGCGGGGCTCTGAGGAGGCGAGAACGCGGCACACCAGGGTTTCCCCTTGGTGGAACCCATCAGCTCCAGGGTCTCACATCAACCTCACCGTCCTTCCTCACCCACGGGGGGAAAAAACAGGGGTTTAGATGTTTTGATGTGAAAACCAACAAAAACACGTTTTTCCCCCCCAGTAAAGGGGTCTGTAGAAAGTACAGTCTACGGCAGTCAGCAGAAAGTTATTTAAAACCTGTTTAAAGTTTCAATTATAACTCATGCCATCAATGTCCACTCCACAAACACTCATTTGCAATACATATATAAAATATTCCTACTCAATGCATATATAAAATAAGAAACAACTGCTTCGAAACACTATCATTTTCAATCTCTCTCACTGGGATTCTCCTCCTGGTCCAGGTCAGAACATGTTATTTTGCACACCCCATTCCTTTTATTTCTCCAACTCCAGTCAAAGGAAGGACGTAACATCATCACACTAAACCTTGCACCTTCGAGGGGCCATCAAGCCTTAGGTGGTTTCTACAGTTTCTTAGAGACAGTGACTCAACAGTAAAACTTCCATCTCAATACAAGAGTGGATTTTATTCCCTCCTGCCACTCTCACACATTAACTTGTTCCCCAAACAAGTGCATTAGGCTTACTGTTAATACTTAGCACACACAAGTTTTTCCTACTCATTGGGGGTTTAATGAAAGAAATCTCACCACAGAAGTTGTTCTTCTGTGAGAGCCCTCAACAAAATCCCCAGTGGTGCTTTATTCCTTCCACGTTTTAGCATAACAGCTCCTGTCATTTTTGAAAGCATCTGAGACACACACAAGGCCAGCACATCCTCCTGTTATAGGGCATCACAGGTTATAGAAACATCTACTACTTTGGGAACCAGGTCTAGGCCACCTCCTCCTCAGCCCCTGTTGAACACCATGTTTTGCCTGTGGAGAACTCTAATGTCTACGAAGCAGTTGCACAAAGGAAAAGGATGCTCTCTTTAAGGCATCATTTCTAATTTTCTACTAAGTGATTAGGAAACAATTAGCAACCAACATAAAATGCTGCCTCCTCTACATCCCCCCCAAAAAAACTGCAAAACTTCCAATGGCTTCAACAGGGCCAGGGGTTCAGCCTGGGTTCATCAAGTGTTTAACACACCATTTGTGGTGGTTGTCAGTCTATTCAGCAATAGTCCATGACCAATTTGTGAGTGAAATGCTTGTGTCTGTCAGTCAGTGTAATTTCTGCCACTAAACACAAATACCTACTTCCCTGCTATGCACCAAAGGGGTGCAGAAGCCAAAAGGAAGCAGAATCAAGTGAAAAAGTGAGTATTTGCCATAACCATCTCTGCATGGTGTATGTGTGCTGTGCAGTTACGTGACCATATGGCATACATCATTCGTGCCCTAATTGTCTGGCTGCAGTGTTGTTTTGAGATGCTTCCTCTTTGCTGTGTCCATGCAAACCTCTCATTCAGAGTCTATATTGTGATATACATTTAGCCATCACCATCCAAGTGTTTGTCTCCACTCTTGACATGATGAAACAGATGGATGTGGTTGCTGCTCATGGGGTTAAACACACACAAATACCAAATTGGCTGCAAACAAGTTTCCCAAACCAGATGGAATTGGGTCATGGGAATAGGGCCTGGTCCTTCCAAAGTTACCACCACCGAACCCCATACAGGCACCTGATATCTTAGGAAGGAATTATATACATTAAGTACCTATGTTGCTGCATCCCCTACAAGTAACTACACAAGAAACCTGCAAATAAAACACAAGGATCAAGCCCAGATAGAGAATTGGCTTTTCTAAAAGTTGCATCCCTACAAGTAGCTACGCAAGAAACCTGCAAATAAAATGCAAGGATCGAGCCCAGATAGAGAATTGGCTTTTCTAAAAGGAGGGGAAAAAAAAAAAAAATGACATCTCCCCCTTCCAAACATCCTTGATTAACGGAGGATTAATTATGTCTGGCCGTGGAAGCAGACTCCATAGGAAGCATCAGGTAAATCTGATACACGAAGAAAAGACTAAATCTTCATTTTGAGAGAAACAGTGATAATGTACAGAGGCCCCTGAAAAAAATGACATCTCCCCCTTCCAAACATCCTTGATTAACGGAGGATTAATTATGTCTGGCCGTGGAAGCAGACTCCATAGGAAGCATCAGGTAAATCTGATACACGAAGAAAAGACTAAATCTTCATTTTGAGAGAAACAGTGATAATGTACAGAGGCCCCTGAGTTTATATTATTAAAGATGTCTCTTTTACTCTGAAAAACGCTAAAAACATACCCAACACAGAACAAATCAGACAAACAGTTGTATTTCATTGTGATGCTCCTAGCAAACCCCTCTTTCTAAAATAGGACACATTTGTTAACAAAAATACTGTGAATTAAGTTTTAATGAAGCTTCCGGTTCACAAATTATTGTATATCATCAGGTATTATTTTATATCATCACATCTGGAGGCAAATCTTCAAATAACATAAACCAAAAAGGTATTACAGACTCCAGTGGGTCTATGCCAATATATAGCAACTGGGAATCCTGACCATAATTCCAGCAGTAACTGGATATTACAATAAGCAGAAGGTTATTCTTGATAATTGAACAGACCTTCAAGAATCTTTTTTTTTTTTTAATCTCTCAGTTATTTTCTATGAAAGTCACTTTATTGGGGTGAGAAAGCATTCGCATTCCAGCAGTAACTGGATACTACAATAAGCAGAGGGTTATTCTTCATGATTGAACAGGCCTTCAAGAATCTTTTTATTTTTTTAGTCTCTCAATTACTTTCTGCAAGTCACTTTATTGGGGTGAGAAAGCATTCGGTAGTTGCCAAATTTAACACTACAAGCATCAACAGAGAGTGAGCTTTCAGTCTGAATGGGATTTTGTAGAACATAACTCTGTAGCATGTTGCTGCCTCCCTTTTTCTTTAAGATAATTCACAAGAGACTGGAACAAATAAAAGAGGTATTTTTTAATATGAACAGAACCTAGAAATAGTTGCCAAATTTAACACTATAAGCATCAACAGAGAGTAAGCTTTCAGTCCGAATGGGATTTTGTAGAACATAACTCTATATCATGGTGCTGCCTCCTTTTTTTCTTTAAGATAATTCAGAAGAATAAACAAATAAAACAGGTATTTTTTAATATGAACAGAACCTAGAAAAAGTGGAAGAAAGTTTGCTGAAAGTTCAAAGGTTACCTGGAAGTTAAGCTATTAGCAATATACTTCTAATTGAGGCAGAAAAATAAGTGAGAAAAAATGTGCATAAAGGTTTGATTTGAATTTCAAAATAAAATTTTTGTTTAACCTCTTCAGAGCTTCTTTGCATTTGTCAGGAGCAAAAAAGCTCACTTCAGAATTACTTTCTAATGAGAAATTTAAACCTAAATATCCCTTGGAGTCAAAGTTTAATTGTAGAGTCAGCTATGAAATTCCCAATTTACTACAGGTCAGTGAACTTCAAAAGATCCAACTCCATCAAGTACTTCGATCCACACTTACACTTTAAAATATGATTAACTGCTTTATTGAGCAGTAAAAAAAAGTGCATGCTTAATTGCCTTGCCAGCCTGATTTGAAACAAACAAATCTCACAGTGTCACAGGAGTTATTTGCCCCAGATCCATCACACCTAATTTAGATTCTTCACTGCAATACATAAATTGGAAAGCTGGTAGGATCCCAATAAAGATAGCAGAAAGAAATAAGACCTGCAGGACATAATTCATGTCCAGAATGATCCTGTGGCAAACATACTCTGGTGTTATATGGAACAGAAATGGGAGTTCATGAAAAATTCACCAGTAAATAAAAAGAAATTCAAAGTATATGTTGAAAGCTATCCTGACTTCTGTTTATAACTGAAAAACATAAAATCATACAATAAGATATTTCTATTCACTCTGAGGGTGGTGAGAGCCTGGCCCAGGTTGCCCAGAGAAGCTGTGGCTGCCCCATCCCTGGAGGGGTTCAAGGGCAGGCTGGAGGGGGCTTGGAGCAACCTGGTCTGGTGGGAGGTGTCCCTGCCCAGGGCAGGGGGTTGGGACTGGATGATCTTTAAGGTCCCTTCCAACCCAAACCATTCTGTGTTTCTATGCTGAAATTCATCCTTTCCCATGAAAAAAGCAAGCTACAATGCACAAGTTGTCAAAAAAGATATATGTTTCATGACTACACCCCAATTAACTCCACCAGATGCTTAAGAGATTGTTTTTAATAGTCTCTCTCTGAGGTATTAGTTAGCATTCAGGAATATTTTTTATTTTTTTTAAAAGTGAACTTCATTTGCATGCCATTTGTTGATCCACACACATTTGTATTTGCTCAAGGACTTGAGTAAAATCCTCAAACACTTCCAATGCCTAAATCCCACTGATTGGGTTTTTTTTTTTCCTTAGTTCATTGGACTTTGTTTTGTTCTGGGGTTTTGGTTGGATTTTTTATTGTTGGGTTTTTTTTTTTTCCTTTCTTTTTAAACTCCAATAGGAAATCTTGCAAATGCTTCCTTTCAACTTTTTAAAGGAAACAGTAAAATTAGCAAATATTCTGCTCCCAATTTAATATATTTTCTCATGTTTATATTGAAGATTCACTACATGAATTTGATGCCATAATCATAATTTTACATATAAAAAGTTAACAGTCCCACTTGATCAACTGCGTTCATTCTAAGCTTCTTAGTATTAGACTTGCATTGATTCACAGCCCACTCCATAAATGTTTACTAAATAACATTATAACTGAGTGGCAGAAAGTTAAAGTGACTGTTTAGCTTCTGTTCTCTTTTATACCAACCTAAATCACAATTAACTCAATTTTAACTAATTCATATACACTAATGAGAAAAAAGACAAAAATCATGCCAGTTTTTGATAATGACAATAATTAAGTTTGGACTACAATAATTCACTGTACATTCCAGTTTTCTCTAAGAACAGTGGCAATTTCTTCACTGATTTTAG